AGCATTTTTTAATATTAGACAAACAATATAAAAATTAAATTTTTATTAAGGATGTGTAATCTTTTAAAGTCAAAATCTCACTAACAATTGATGTGACAAAAGAAAAATATTAACAATAAAGATTAAAATTTCTTACCACTTTAAATATTAACAGAATTTTGATCGAAAAAAGTTAAATTTACTAATATAATTAATAAAAAATCAGTTTATACATTTTCTATTTAACATTAAAAAATTATTATAATATAATTAAAAAGTTTAAATTTTGTGTTTTTTTGGTACGAAAAGTCTTAACAAAAATTCTAGGATGTCAGCCGATAAATTAAACCAAATTGATGGAGCAAGAGCTTAAAATAGTGATTAGAAAATAAAAGCTCCCATCCAAGCAAAAGAAAAGTGCCTATCCGAGCACCATTTTTCTCAACTTTTTATCTTGAAATTTTTTTCAATCCCGCTTATTGCTTAGTTTTTTAGGCATCCCGCTCGTTATTTTTTCTTTTTTCAAGCTTTTCCGTACATTGCATAAATATAATATTATTTTTATGTGAATTTATATGAAATAAATATAAATATATATGTATATTTTGTAGAGTAAATTATAATTTAGTCCCTCTTATTTTGATAAATAAATTAATTTGTCTTTTTTATTTCGAAAACTAATTATTTAGTCTTTATATTTTGAAATATACTTATAATTTAGTCTTTTCTTGCTCATTTTTAATTTATTTTGATTTTTTTTAAGAAATAGAAAAAAATGAAAATATTGATTAAAAAATAAGAGATTTTGTAAAATAAAAATAATATCAAATTAAACATGTTTTATCCTGATTAAATGACTAAATAATAATTTTTAAAAATAACAAAGAAGGCTAAATAATTTGTTTCTTCGAACTAGAGGGACTAATTTATAATTTACTCATATTTTTTTATATCATATGATATATATTTGGGTAAATTTTAACTCCTTGTTCTGCACAACATAGAATCCATAAATTGGAACCATGGCTAATTCTCTTTGCACGATTGTCTTAAAATCACAATTAAAATCTAATTTTAAAAAATAATTATGATTTAAACAAAAATACAATACAGTAGAATTATCAAGTTTATTGTGTTAAACTTTATGTTTTATACAACTACCTAACACATTTTTTCAGGACTAAAATATGAGACAGAAAAAAGAAAATATGATCTTAATTAAAAATAGTTATTGTTTAACAATCTATTTTATAGAATTTTTTAGGATCGATTTCTTGGGTATTCCAACAATCCTAGTTGAAAAATCGATTTTAATAACCTTGCTTAAACATGTTTTTATTTCCTAGATTGAAGGGGGAGGTGCTAGATGCCTCTAAACGAAGCTAAAACAGCATTTTTCAATGATATTGCAAATACAATCATTAAAAAAATCGTTGAAGGGAGAAGTATAAATCACAACGTAAAAAATACTTTAAAATTACGCTGTGAATGACTTACTTTATCTAACTTGATGTAATACAACAAATTGATAACCATCCTATAATTCATACAATAGGTAGTAGAATCAAGATCCACTCACGAGGATTTGTAATCGAATCTCAGAATCCATGATCGATTCCTAAAATCAAGAGCAAGGTTGTTAAAATTGCAATCCAACTCATTTTTATGTTTTAAAAATAGACTGAACAAGCTAATGCATTTACAAACTCGTGAGTTCATCATTAAGTTTAACAATTTTTAAAACAACAAATTGTTTTTTTTTCCTTTATTGATTTCATGTCAGGTGTTGGCGTAATTATATAGCTATCGTGTTTAATTTAAAGGGTCTAGCATAAAGTATGGTATAAAATATTTTTAAAAAATAAACAAATAGAATAAATACTATTAGTTACTAGTTGAGTATTTTTAAATTTCTGATGGCCAAACAAATCGAGCTTACAAGCATCTTAATCTCATACTTGAAAAAAAACATAAGTAGCAGGGATTCTACGAATGAATTATTTCCCTGCTAACCTCTCATAAAATCTTGCTTAGTGGATAAAGCTAAAAATGCACGCGACTCTGTATGTCCTGGCGTGCCCTGACACGAGTCTCGTAACTTGCAGGACCCCCCAACTTAACGTAATGGAGTCGCTAAGCGGATCATTTGTGATCACCTGATAGGAATTGTGATGTGAAATGTCTACTAAAGGGTACTCCCACAACTTTTGATTTTTTTAACTGGGTGTTGCGATACATCTTTTGCTCATTTTGACACTTTTTTTTTTTTTTTTGGATAAGATTAAAAGGCATGCATTAATATATGATTTTGAATAGTTTAAAAATATTAATTAAAAAAATTAAATTTTGCATAAATCGATGTTTGTTTACTAATAGATCACTATTTTGTGGTTAACTTTTGATGTAAATAATGATTTTAGACTAACGGTAGAGAGACAGACCCATTTATCCAAGTTCATTTCCCAATTCCCATACGTAATCTCAAATCATTTTACTACCTTATATACTTTACATGCTTAATATTTATAGTCAATTACAGAGTTTATATTCAGCATTATGGTAGCCCAAGGTTATTAAATTCATTTATAGTAAAATTAGACTTTTTGTTTTTTTAAACATTCTATCTATGCTTGTTTTTTTTTTTTGGTGGGATTTCTGACGTTATTCGAACCTGCTACATATACATGGGCCATGGCCTCTCTAAATGACAAAAAAAAACAAGCCCTTTATAGATGCTGTTCCCTATAGGAGTAGACTAGTAGTGCAATTGACGTCTGCCAGTGAGAGAAGAGATACGACGACAACTTCACTAGCCACCATTAAGGTGCTATTGCCAGAGACCACTAACATTGTTTTAGTGGAAAATGCACTAGAAGAATAATAATGAACTGCCTAATTAATCTCTAATAACTAGGACGAGATAACGAACTTATCATCAATTCGGAGACAGTGCTTCCGCACAACATGTGAAATTGGTCCAGATCTTTAATTGCTTTTCCGCGCTTCTATGTACTCATTATATAGGACGTACTTGTCTTACAAAAAAATTACAGTATATAAAAATTTGGACTCTACAAATCCTAATACGAAGAGGAATTTTTGTCGTCTGAGACCACCTTGGCAATAGTCTTGTAGTCCTTCCTTTTTGGAAACAAAAGATCAGTGCCATAAAATTTTCGCAGTTCAATACCTTTTGGTTTATGCTTATAGAATACTTAAAAAGGCTACGTATGCACACCTTGGAGACGCTATCTGGAATCTGCATCTTGAATTAAATGATATATACGAATAAAATGCTGATGTAGTATAAGAATGGAATGGTTGATAAATTAAAACTTTGCAAAAAATTATTTTTGGCTGAAGCTGCTTTCAAATGCAATGGGAGTAGCCGAAGATTCGTCCCTAACCTATTACCTGTTTATCAATTGGGTCCCCAATCTACTTTTTATCAAATGGGATCCCCATCCCCACCCTATCAGAAATCCAAAATGGAGCCCTTCTGTCTAAAGTCGTTATAAATTTATGACAGAAAAGGTTAAGTTAATTGAGAATTTTTTGAAACATTAGGGACCCAACTGACAGACAAATAATTTGGGACCCAGTTGAAATTGGTGTATAAGTTGGGGATTAACCTGAGGTTATTCCTAAGGCAAATTAATTCTTGAAACCCTAATCAATAACATTTTTTTTTTTTTTTGGTGATAAAATACGCTTTCTGGTGATGATTGTTTGAGAAATTTGAAGACAAGGTCTGCGAATAACGGATGCTAATCACATATACGCATCTTCTAATAATCTTCCAATAATGTGCGTGGGAATAATTTTGGTCTGGAGAATGGTGACCGCTACTTCTGTATTCATTAGAAGATTTCTTAGGCACTTGGGTTTCCGTCGTCCACATGTATTGAATAAACCTCAAACCAAAATTTATACACGTTCCCCTCAGGTGAAATTATTGTCTACACCTAACAGAACAGGGAATCAAACCCAAAAGCAAAATGGACAGTGATTAGAAGGGACGTCTTTACGTGCATTTTATCACTCTACATGTCTTGCCATTACAATTTACAGGAAACTAAAAAGAGATTAGATTTGCTTGTTGGAAATTCATGCTACAGTTGCAGCGTTCCATTAAAAGTCAAATGAAAAACTGATCGTCAATACTAGCAGTACTTGGAGTTTATCTTCTGGTGCCAAGGCTGATCTATCAAGGGACAATTTTGAGAAGGTTCGCGTGTCCTTTTCCTGAACAATCAACATGTGCTAATTAAAAACAGTCAGGAGGAATGGAACCGGAAACCTAACATCATGGAAACCACCGAGACATGCCACACCCCATACATTGACTCGTGATTTGTATACACAAAGTGTATTCTACTGTTACTTGCCACTTGTAACAGTGAAATATACACCCACTACTTGTAGTGTTGCACTTTCATTGATCATAATCGACAGAAGATTGATTGGTGGTCTGTGATCTCATTCTAATAGAAAGTTTTCAGCCGCTCAAAAGATTTCAACCAAATTCGTAATGGGCAGAAAGTTATCAACAACAATTGATTCAAAAGAAAGGCAAGGAGATATCAAATGGGAGATTTTTTTGTTTTATTTTATTTTTAATGACAGTCAAGATTAGATTATAAAAAAATTGAGTCAGTGGATAACAGTTTAAAGTTTTAATATATAACAATAGCATCATAAAAAACTAACTTTAATATATAATAATAGAATCATAAAAACTATAACAGCAATGGGTGCTATGACCAGTATACAATAAAAAACTACTCTTAATTACAAAAATCTGTAACTGCTTTTTTTTCTTGAAAAATACGATAAAAGTTAGCATTTTTCACCTAACATATGTTCCTTATAGATCCTGGATCCGAGTCTGGTAATCATGCCCAAATTAATTAGACATTGACCGTAAAAGAATGGCCAACGTAAAAGTTTCTGAAAGCGAAAATTGGGAACTTTTTTTTCCCTCCAAGTTAAGGACCTGATTTGTTTATGATCAGCGTCCCATGGGAAGCCAGGCTTCAGCGCGTGGGCAAGCAAATGTGACCTTAGCAGCTGGGATGACAAAGATACAAAAAGGAAAAACAGAAAAGTCTGTCTGTGACTAGATTGACATTTGAAGGTGAAAGAGTTAAGCATGCTTGCAAAGCTTGCACTTCCTTTTATGGGTTTATATGCTTGCCCTTTCCTTCACGGGTTGTAAATCGAACGCCACCCATAATTCTCCATGTGCGTTCGGAGGCAGTTTTTTGCAATTCTACTGCATGTTATTCATTTCTGATTGCTTTGTGCCCTTTTCTGTTTGCCATCAGGCGGAACAGTAACACATGTTTCCTCGCTTATTGCTGACCAAGTTTACTTTATGAAAGACAGCAGCCATACAATTGGATGCTGTCGTCAGGTCATTGTATTTGTCTTCGTCCTTGTGTGGTAAGAGATTATAGTGGAAATTAACAACTTGATGGTACTACTGGCATATAGATATATACATTTTGATATCCATGTTTTTAGGTAACGTTGTGAAAAACAAAGGTATTTCAAACACATAAATTTACGGTTGAATGACAAATTTTGCTCGATTTTTGTTTTTTAGAAAAACATAATTAATATTGAAATGTTAAAACGACGTGGTTTTAACATTTGAAATAATGATCAATCTAATTGATTGTTATATATAACGAAAATTAGACAATTTGGATTACATTTGCTTAATCTTTAATATTTTATGATTTACATTATATGATTTGATATTATAAATTTAAAATTGTCAAATTTTAATAAAATGAGAAAAATTTTTACCATTAAATCATAAATTTAATACATGTAGGCCAAGTTGGTCATAAAAATAATAAAATTTCGAATGTATATGTGGATAATAGGTATGCGTGATATAATATAAACGTATACCAACATGATAAGATGCTCTGTCTCTTTAGAAATAAAGCATGTGTATTATATGCAGCACTGTTGCGAGATAACGTCTTCACTTATAAATGCTTGGCAATTGCAAGCCTGCAACCCTACCACTACAACTATTTCCAGGAGAATTGACTGTCCATATTCAATTAATGTAACACTTCCTATCTTAAATTTTTTATCATCGATCTCATTAATGCATATTTCGTTCAAGTAATATGATATTGCTTTGCCTCCACAGACGGCTAGGAGTCTTAATTTAAGGAAGATCAAATTGCAGGCTGGGACTCTTCTGTGGTTCGGATAAAATAATCCGTCTCATGGTGAAATTTTATTGGTTTAAGATTTTATTGTTCAAAATTAGTGCGCATGGTAAAGACTGGATTGCGACCCGGGCATGAGAGAGAAGCCGGTTTTAAAATACATATGCACACATGATGCTATGTCATCTGTGGTGATTTATCAAATCATTGTAAAAGGAAAAAAAAAAAAGAAAAGAAAAGAAAAGAAAAGGATGATGATAATGATTCATGGAGCTAGACCAGGGTTAGATAATATCCTGTTTGGCTCTTAAGAATGGTTGGGAACTGGGAATGATTTATTAAAAGACCATATCATCTAAAAGCTTAAGTTGATAGGTGAGGTCCTAGAATATAATTTATATTAGTCTCTAACACGATTCTTTGCATCTCCTTGCACCTCACGTGGTGAAGATGGAAGCTGGCACCGAGTGAACATAATTTTGATTAATCGAAAAATAGAATCGAATCCAACTGAATTATATATTTTGACTTATTTTTTAATTTAAATTTATAAAATGAAAAATCAAATTAAAATATCAAAATTATTTCAGTTTGGTTTAATTTTTTTAAAAAAATCGGTTTCTACAAAAAATCAAATATATTGAAAGTAAAAAGTTTTAAAAAACAATACCTGACCACTACTTAAAAAGAAAAAATTCTAAATTATGAACAAAATTAGGGATTTATAAAAATTTCATTTCCTATGCATAGTTTGAAATTTAAATTATGATACCTAAGGAATAAGTATAACTTTTATTAGTCCATCCTATATACTAAAAAATAAAAAATCTTTAAATATTAGCCTAGCTCATGTTCAAAATTTATCAATTAAAAAATAATTATTAACAAAATAAGTTTGATAAGCTTGGTTTGAAACCTAATTATTTTGATTCAATTTCAATTTTCATTTTTTAAATTTAATTAATCGAAAATCGAACCAAATTTATAAAAATCGAATTGTTTAATTATTTGCTCACCTTTGATGATTTAGCCAGCTTTTATAATTCCAGTTTCCGCGTATTCCAATATTACTATTCAAGCGCCTTCATCCTTAGCATCGAAAACACAATTCATTAAGAAAATCAAAATGAATCCGTGTAATTTGAATAGAATTAACTAAAATCCTATCAACCTCCATTTCATATTTTTATAATAGAATATATTGCAAAAAATATTGAGAAGTTTCCATATCAAATATGAGTCGTTTAATATGTTTGACTAATAACCCTCTTATTCAATCAAAAATCTTATTAGTGTAATGATTTTTTTATTATTTTTATACACATGATATCCTTGACAATAATAACATTTTTTTTTTGTATTTTGCATTTAGATGAGGAAAATATGGTAGGAGGCATTCTTGTTTTGGGACTAGAAACTAAAGTTTTAGTATTAAGGTTATTTTTGTCTTATAAAATTTCAAGTAACAACATCAATTTTAGTTTTAATTAAAGATGGATTTTTATGCCATTTATAACTAAATCCAATAAAAAATGAAAAGTACGAAATGTGTTTAGAAAGCACAGTAAGTTTTTTGGTTTTTATATTTTAGGGTGCCACAGACCCAGAAACACAAAATTGCATGGTTAGGATTGATATCCCCATGAAATCTGCCCAGAGTATGTGGAAAAGGATGATTGTCAATTTATTAGCCTTTTGCCTATAACGGATGAATGCCAGCAGCGGTGACTTTGACAGCTGCTAGCAACACTCGCTTTAGCAATAAGCCACGTCATTGAAAAGGTTACAGACAACCGCTTAAGCTCATGCCATTTGCAAGGGGGAAAAAAACCAACGTTCAAAGAGAATGGATAAATAGATGAACTCTTTTAAACTTTAATCTATTTAAAAAATTAATCTTTGAATTTTTAATTTTAAGTTTGATTATTATTTTTTAAATTTAGTTCGTTTTTATAAAAAAATAATGTTCATATAAATATTTTAATAATAAAAATTATTCAATAAAATTAATATGAAACTTCTTTAAAATTTTAAATAATTCATTATTATCTTTTACTTTTTTTTTGTGATTCTTTACATTTTTAATAATAAATAATATATATTCTCACTTTAAAGAATTTTAATTTTTTTTAAAAAAAATTGATTGGATTTGATCCATTATGTGTGCAAAACGTCATTTCAAAACATCAAGAAATTGACTTTTTTTTTTAATGACACCTCAAAATCATAAAATGGATTGAATTAAAAAAAATTAAATCCAAAATTAAGTTTAAAAATTAATTTTCAAATGAAATTAAAAATAACGACTGATTTTCAAATAAAATAAAAATTACCAAGATGTTTGACCACCGACAGAAATTGCTAACCAATGGAGGTTCTCGTAATGAAAACTCCTCAGCCACCCATCAATTTTAAATGAAAATTTCTCGTTTGATCAATTTTATTTTTACTGATCCAGCCGCTATAGTTTCTCTCTAATCTCTCTCCTTTGATTACGTTATTAGTTTCTCTCTAATCTCTCTCCTTTGATTACGTTATTTGTTTGAACTGTTCAATGATCTCTATTTGCTATTGTCCATTATGGTTTCTGAGTATTGGAATGGAAAATGATTGGCAAAAACTAGAAATCTGTGGCTCCACCATGGAATCGAAGCAGATATGTTTCATCATCTTCTCACAAATCCCGAATTGAGTTAATTCTTGTACCCAAAGCCAAAACTCATCTCCATTCAACCATCAATATACAATACCATTCGATTTAAATGAAACAAAAACTCTTCAATTGATTATTGCTAAGTATAACTAAAATTCATTTATAGAAAAAAAAAACCATATTAGATTATAATAAATCCGAGATCCTAGTCGATGCATTCTATTATAATCCAAACTTGAAATAGCTATTGAAAACTGAATATTGCTCACTCAAAATCTGTGTGTACTAGTGGATCTATTAACAGATTCCTAAATCTTCAAGAAACACATCAAGAAGATCTGGATTTTTGGGGGGAAAAAGAAACTGGATTTTTTTTCTCAAATTTGTTCTAGAAATCAGTATAGAAAAAAGAAATAAAATTGAGAGATGGGATGTGCATCTGTTTAAAACAAATTTCTTTTACAAGAAAGCAAGCTGACTTCTAGATGCATCGAAGGAAGGAACAAGAAGAGAAAGAACAAGAGTTGAGAGAACCTCTGTTTTGTTTTAATAAGAAATACTAAGACGTTGTTTGGTAATCGAAATAGAGTGATGAGAATGAAAATGAAAGTTTTATTTCTATATCGTAATCTGTTTAGTTAAAAAGAATGAAGTGATAATAAAAATAAAGAGTGAAAATGAAAATGAAAATTTACACATAACTTCATTCTCATATAAGATGTGGGAATAAAAATAAGGAATGGAAATGATTTTTTTTTCAAAATAATAATATATTTTATTTATTTATTATCCATTAAATACTTTTATCACTATCATCGCAACCATCACTACCACCACCATTGCAACCATCATAACCACTACTATCACAACTACCACCACCACTCGCTACCATTATAACTACGACCATTATCACCATCACAACCACCATTACTATCACTATCGCAACCGCCATCTACCACAATCACCGACACCACCACCGTCGCTGCAACTATCACAATCATTGCCGTTGCCATCACCACTATCGTCAATTATTACCGTCACTATTACTAGAACCACCACTGTCATAACCACAATCACCTTTATTATTTTTACAACTATTATAATTTAATAAATTATTTTTTAATTATTGTTTTTATTTGTATAAAAAATCAGATATTAAAAAATTTAAATTGAATTTTAATTCCTCATTAGTGTTCTAAGCACGGTATGAAAATACAAATATTATTCGCATTCCTTCATTCTCATTCCAAAATACACACAACTTCATTCTCATATAAGATGTGTGAATAAAAATAAGAAATGAAAATGATTTTTTTCTTCAAAATAATAATATATTTTATTTATTTATTATATATTAATTACTTTTACCATCATCACCACCACCATCACCATCATCACCATCTCAACCACCACCGTCGCTACAACCATCAAAACCACCACTGCCGCCGCCGCCATCACCACTACCATAATTACTACCGCCATCACTACTGTCATAACCACAATCACCATTATCACCCTTATTATTTTTACAATTATTATAATTTAATAAAATTATGTTTTTAATTATTATTTTTATTTGTATAAAAAATCAGATATTAAAAAATTTAAATTGCATTCCGATTCTTCATTAGTATTCAAAGCACAATATAAAAATATAAATACCATTCAAATTTTTTAATTTTCATTCTCATCACTTTATTCATGATTACCAAACAATACCTAAATAAATTAATAACAAACGGTCTTAACCAGTAGCATAAGCAGCGACTGTCTCTAGCGACTGTGAAAGCGACTGCTGCTAGCAGTCTTCTTTAGCTAAGACCAGTTCAAACAAAACGATACCTGTGCCCTCGGTCTAGGCCGACCTTGAACAAAGCCCTATGTGGTCATTTTATTTTTGATTTTCATCTTGAAAATAAAATAATTGCAATTCTTTTAACATAACCTTCAAATTCTAAAAGATCACCCCTTGGAAGGAAAAGCCGAAGAGAGATTGTGTGAATGAATAGAATCGAAAATAAAAATTTGAGGCGAATTTTGAAAGAAAAGGAGAGTAATTAATAAAAAATTACTGGAAAACCGGTCTCCAAAAGGCCAATCTCACCGAAAGTTTTAAAATAAGTAAGGCATAAAGCCCAGAATCGCTGGCTGGCCTACATCTTAAATCCAACCTAAATAAGGAAATTAACTAAACTCTGACCTGGGCCCATTGTTCCTAATCTAGCTGCATTGGGCTTACGAGGAAACGAGAAGGAAAAAAATATATATACCAAGTGTATACGCAATTTAGGCATGTCGCAGCAAGATGTCAATAAACCAGCCCTTTCCTGAAGAATCACACTTATTTTCCTATGCAAGGAAGTAGATTATAGTCCTTTTTTTTTTTTTTTAAAGGATGATGTAAGGCTTCTTTCATCTTTGGTATCGTCCCGAAAGTTTTATTTGGAGAATCGGACTACTGGGTTTGATTGATGCTTGAGATGGAGTAATTTGGGCTGGGAAACACAATTTTTGCTGGATCTGTATTGAACATAACCATGAGCCTACACAAGAAATGCTAGTGGAACGTTTACCATTTTGACTTGGAATCTTTAGAATATGTGTTATGTTCTTGATATCGAATTATGCTACGTACAGTACTAACCAAAAGGATCCGAGTTTGAATATTTATTGCTTCCTATGTGTGTGTATATATATATAAAGTTTCACCAAATGGTTATGAGAAAATCTTGTCTCAAAAAATAAAAAAAATAAAAATCCTTGAGTGTTTTTTTATTTTTATTCTTGACAAAACGAAGATCGAATTATTGTTAAAGAACGAGACTAGAAAGTTGTTTCACAGTTATAATAAGTAGCAAGTAGCAAGATTGTGCGCTAGAGATGAACACAAGATAAACAACTATAAAATTCGTTTTTTTGAAATAATTAATTAAGCGTCATAACTTGTCATTACTCTTGAATTAATTTAAGAGATAAGTGTATGATAAACCACATGTAAGCGAGATATGGATTAGAGGAAAAAGAAAAAGTTAAATCGGTTGACAAGCCAAGTTGTGCAAGTTTTTTGTCGTTAAAATTGTTTATTAGAGTTGCGTGTTTACGATTGTATACTCCCATTTTTTCTTGTCTTATCATACAACGACGTCCGTACAACACAATTAAATTATATGTGCAATTAAATTGTTTATACTAATTTTTTTTTATAGAATTTAAATTTTAAAATTATATTTATTGAAAAAAGTTAAACTTCATCATTTTTCTTCTAAACATGATTATTCATATCTTTAATAAAAAATAAAAATAATTATGTAAAAATTAATAATAATAATAATAATAATAATAATAACAATGGACTCTTACCTCAGTGAGTTAAAAATATAATTTTTTTCCATTGCTGTAATAATGGATTTAATGAGATGCATTGTTTTCAGGAGAGTTGCTATTGGCACACCTTATGTGTCTATTGCACAGCTTTTTTAATTTTAAATGACAAAACTACCCTTCATTTGAATCACCGCTGCAAAAAAATTTGGGCAGTGTTTGGGGATGAGAGCTCTTTTACGGTCCCATATTCTTCTCTTAAATTTTTCGATTGTCCATGATGTGTTCCATGAATTGTCTAAACTGGACCTCCCCTTTTACTCCTCTGTTGCTAGTGATTTTTTTTAGTTCATGTGTAATTTGATCGCGTGTTGCAAAGGAGTTGTATTCTACTCTTTGATTTGGTAGATTAACCCTCTCTCTTTTGTTTTTTATCCTCTCTAGATAAAATGAATTCTCTTGTCAAAAAAATTTCTTGCTTGAAAAAAGACGAAACTTTTGCTTTATCATTGTTAAAAACTTTTGAGATCTTTTGCAATTGATGCTAATACAAGCCATTGCTAATGGATCTTGCAAGTCGAGGTAGATTAGAAATCGCCAATAGTTATGAGGTAGGAGGCGACGACGTTGTTGGTAAAGATACTGATTTGTTTATTGATTCTAAAGGGCAAATTTGTCATTTAAAAGTAGAAAAGCTGCGCCAATCGATCCCGATGGCGTGCGAATAGGGCCTCCCTTGTTTTGATAATGTTATTTATTTTAAATGATTATAGAGGCTTTTTGAAATGGTTTACAAAATATCACAGGAACAACAAATAACAATGGTAAAAGTAAAAATAATTTTTTATTATTTCTCGTGTCTAAAAGATTTGTCTTCTTTTTTTTTTTTTTTTGGGAATGTTAAAAAAATTATCCATTATTAAAAAAAATCAAACTATTAATTATTTTGTTTTATTGTTCTATCCTTAATTATAACTTGCTTTGATTCTTCCTTTCTAATTTCTCTCTTATTCAGTAAAGTGATTTAGAAACAAATGACATGACATTCAATTAATAATATTTTTTTAATATGTATAAAAAATCAAATAAAACTATAATTTTGAGATTGAAGAGGTGTAAAAGATAGTTTCAAACATGAAATCTTTTGAAAAAGAGGAGACCTTAAGTAAAAATTGAAACACGACTCCCTAATTCCATTGATGCATGTGGATGATCACAACTATAAGATCATAGTCTTCTAGAGAGACCAGTTGATTGCCGGATAGGTTTGAATCACAATTTCTCTTTGGCGGTGGGCTCTTTAAGGAAAGTGTGACGTATATGCCTATCGATTGTTATTCCTGCATAAAGAAGAAAAAAATAATAATAATTAAAAAAAAAACTACAGAGAGAGAAAAAAGGTTAAACATAAAACAGAATCCATTTGGGCTAGCTTGCATAGAGCCAGATAATCTGAAAGGTTAAACCACGTGGATGACATATGAGATGATGCGTGTTCAGTCACATGCCCTCCACGTTAAGCAACCTTGCTTTTTTCGGAATAAACAGACTCTTCTCATCAAGCTAAAATGAAAAATAAAAGAGAGACAGAGGGAACACAAATTACCTGTACAAAACGCTTTTCTTTCTTTCTTTTTCATTGCTGGCATCACGGCATAAATTTTTATCTTAACTAAATTTAGTACAAATGCCCCATTATGTTATGCATGTACGTATACATTACTGTATTTTTTTCAAAATCTTTATTGATTAAATTTGCTTTGTTCTTATCTTTCTCTCTCTCTCTTTTTTTCACTGCACAAGCATCGTTCATATCCAACGAAATGGTAAACGTGGTCTGTAACTAATAATTTTTCTCAATGCGAAGTAAGTGGTCCTTAAAAGTGGCTTGCAAATTAATCCCAGCTGCGTTTGCCTGCATTTAAACAGTTTGCGTTGGATGTAATATATAGAATATAATTAACCAACAGGTTTGACGTAATTAGAAAGCTTATTTTCATGTTTTACTATACACTGACGAAATTGGAAATTTTGTCGTTTGACACGTCCAAAGTGTATACAATCCAATAACAGGCAGCTTTAATCTATCTGTCTCAGGAACTGGTCTGGTTCCTATCCACACACACATATATGTATATATGGATGCGTGTTATACGTTTTAATGGTGACATAGGGGACAAGGCATCTCTCTCCAGGCTAGAGGAGTTCTGTGCCAGTAGAGCATTACGAGGGGTCGACATAAAACAAGCCGGTAAAAATAATGTCTTGTTTGCAATACAAAATACATACATAAAGAAAATGTGACTAGCTAGTCTTCTCATCATCAATTACGTGTCTTTCTTCCCCTTCTCTATTATGGCAACAACACTGTGTCCCATTCCTTTTGATGTTTACCTACCTTACTTCTCCACCTCTTCCACCTCTTCAGGCTTTCCTAATATACCCTCAAATCATCATATGCATATATTTATCTGTTAGTTCAAGCTAATCTTAAGACACGGGGCTACCTTGCTCTTGCATTCATAGAATCATAATTTGATACATAATACCAACGTTATATCCGATTGATTCTCTTCTGCGATTTATATTTTATTTTATACAACTTTATAATCATTACGGGAATGACAAACCAATATATATAGATGGAATCAAATAATTTCCATTTATGCAAGTTCATTATGAATCCAATAATCTACGATCTTGATAAAGTTGGTCCCACATTTCTTGCATTATTATATATGTGTGTGTTGACACTCCGAATTTGTTTCTTCGATCAATAATTGCCCACTGAATTGATAGCATTACCGTCCAACCGCTAACCGTTAGGGATTCTTTCAATTCGATTTCAGATTTCTCTTCCACTTAAATATTTCTTGATCACGCAGTTAATTAGTTTATAAACTTGGTATGAGATAAATCTCCTTCAAATTCTTGACTTTCCACCTTGAATACAATAGTTATTATGAGTAAAGAATATATAGAATTGAAGGTTCCGATTTATTCGAGAAACATAAACAAAAATGATGAGAAACTACGAACCATTACTAACCTTATGTCACTAGGAAGCGTTTTGATTCTAAGGAATATGATAGGTGATTAAATAATCTACTTTCTATTTTGATTTATAATTTGAATTTTAAAATTAAATATATTTATTTGTCCTTGTATGATAATCAAAGTTTCTAATGTATTTTTAAGTTTTTAATCGTATCTCATTTATTTTTGAAATATTCAATTTATTTTTTCGATCAATTTTTCCCACCATATAATATTTTTAGACAAAAATATTTTTAATTGAATTAAAAAAGATTAAATATGTAGGTCATGTGACTTTAAATATTTTTTTTATTTTACATTTTAGTAAATGACTTTCAATAAAATAAAAATTATGGTTGAAAAATTTGATGAAAAACCAATTGAATATTTAATTTTTTTAAAAAACATATAGAATGTAATTAAAAAATCTAAAGATAAATAAAAAACTATGAGTATTATATAGAACATATGAATATATTTATCTTTTTAAAATTGACATCTAAAAATATCTATCAACTTCAATGCATCAATTTCACATAAAAATATGTATTTAAAATCATTTAAAGGAAAAATTCAATCTTGATTAATTTCAATTGAAAAATAAACTAATATTAAAATAACCATTCTATTAACCAAAAAATAACACTTCCTTTTTGATGTAGCTAGTGCATTAATCAAGGGCCACAAATATGAAAACTATGTACGTTATTTTCCATCACCCCCTGATGCCGGAATTTTACAGTGACTGGACATGTCCACGACAAATAATTAGAATTAATACCTATCGACCCAGAAGCCATCATGCTATGTATGGTCCCCGGCCGGTACCTACGATATAATTTACAAATTGTATGAAAAATTATAGTCCCTAAAATATTTATATTATCAAATCAATCCGTATGGTGTACTTTTTGTCAAATACAATCCTGTACTCTAAATTATCCATATCATGTCCCTCTATTTACTTATTTTTATATTTGGTAATATATGGCAGCCATATAATTGGTTTTATTTGTATGGATGGAGGACTCAATATTGTATTGTAAACTGGAAATACTAGAATCAATTTGACTACAAATATAATAGAGAAGCTGATTTGATAAAGTATGGAAAAACAAAGGACTACGTGTGATCTTTATCCAAGAATAGTATGATCTTTTCCATCAAATTTTCGATACCATTAATTGTGGTAGGTCGAAACCTAACTAAATTGGTCACTACTTATTTGAACTCATAAATGGGTTGGCGTAACTAACTAGTAGTTTAATTTTTTTGATAATCAACAAGTAGTTTAATTTAATTGAACGGTACATTACATACAAACGACTTAGAAAGATCAATTGACAAGATAAGCTTATGCGGAGATCTTATTTTTAATGTAGATAATTTATTTGATGACAAAGTTTGTCAAAACGGTAATGGTCGGCACCAAAATTGGTTTGTTGTGCCCACGTGGCTCCACGATTTCCACGGTTTCGCCTCCCATTAGGTTGAATTTGAAGTGCAGATGTTATTGATTAATTTTATCTTAAATAATAAATGCTCGGTCATTTTGGTCCAAAAAAGAAGACAATCAGATTGGAAAAAAAATTATAAAAATCTGAGTTGCTAAAAAATATCCTATTTTTATTATTAATCACCTGATTTAATAACAGACATGTAACAGTGGTATGCATGATTAGAGGTCAATGACTGGATGGGAATTCAAGTTGGGGAGAATTTAGTCATTCAATAGCCAATGTAGCCAAATTGCCCACTGAAATCCAAAAAACGCACCAAAAAGCAAAGGTGACCTACACAGGCCAACTTATTATCCCCTTCGTCGCCATCTGCACCTAGCTAGCTGTTGCCATTAATTTGCTAATTAGGCTCTCCATAATATTTTCTTTTATACTTATTCTCTTTTGTATTATTTCTAATTTATTAGCCTTTCTCATCTAATTTTCTTTATATGCTTTTTTTTCTAGCTCTGTGGAATTTATCTCTCTGTCTGCGTCGTTAATTATTGACACACACCCATATACAAGAGAAAACAACTGACCCTTTTTTCATTTCGTTCCTTTTAACCAGCAAAAACAAAAGATTACTGAAGATTCCGCAGCTTAATACTTTAGGGGAAAAAAGCCTTTAATTTCCCATTCAATTTGTTTTTTTTTTTTTTGACAGAGCGATCCCACCCAATTAAAATAAACAAATTAACCACAGAATATCTTCATAAAATCCTTGCGAGAATTCACCTCTTTCCTATCTTTTCCCCTCCATTTCTCTCTTATTTCAGATAGCTGTAATTGCCAGTCCCATGCTAGGTGATTCAAGTGTGCTAGCAACCTCTAGTGATGTTGCGGCCACCGCGACTAGGGTCGTCCCTGAAGGTGGTAAAATTGGTGGTGGAGGTGGTTTTGGTTCAAATTCAGCTGAAGAGGATAAGAATATGGGGGTTGATCATGAAGGTGACAAGATGAATTATGGTGCAAACCGGTGGCCTAGACAAGAGACTTTGGCGTTATTGAGGATAAGGTCCGACATGGATGCAGTGTTTCGTGACTCAAGTCTAAAAGGTCCACTATGGGAAGAGGTTTCCAGGTGATGATTTGATTCTTTTTTTCTTTCTTTTCATTTTTCGAAGTGTTTGGTTAAACAAAAGTGTTAAGTTGTTGTTGATCAGTTCGTGCATGGAGATCTGTGAAGTAACTTTTCACTAAATTTTGTGCACTTTCTTGGATCTTTCGCACAATGACATCGTACAGTTTTCTTGGTATTTGAATTAGATAGATAATGTTGGATGGTTCATTTTGAGGGAATTCAGAATTAAGAAGAGAAAATTAATGTTAATTCTGATGCTCTACGAAGAAACTCTTCACAGCCATGGTGCTTCCTTTCCATGGCTGGCTCTACCAAAAAAAAGAAAAAAAAAGGATAATAATAATATATAGTTTAAAGTTTCTTTAGTTAACATAGGTTTTGTTTCTTCAAAATTTCTCAACTATTCTCAAAAACTAGGAATCGACCTTATAAATTCTAACATGGTAAGTGATTCCCTGTCATCATAGTTTGTTAGAAGTTCTCTCATCTTTGTTAGGCTTTTATCTTCGTTTTCCTCTCTTAGTTTCGATGTTCTTTTCTTTTCTTTTTCATTATCGTCTATCTATAATAGGCTCATTTTATGTGTCAATGCATTTTTAGATCTTGTTCTATAGTAAATTCAGAGATGAAGTTCTTGAAATCTTCTAAATTATCAGGAAACTAGCTGAGCTTGGATGTCATCGGAGTGCCAAGAAATGTAAGGAGAAATTCGAGAATGTGTACAAATACCACAAGCGAACCAAAGAAGGCCGAACTGGTAAATCCGAAGGCAAAACTTACAAGTTTTTTGATGAATTAGAAGCTTTCCAAAATTATCCTTCACATTCAACACAACCGCCAACATTGCCACCACCACCAGCTCAAACTCCAACGGCAACAACTGCTACATTGCCATGGACTACTAGTCCTGCTATCGTCTCTCATGCTACTGTTCCATCAACAACAAACACTATCGATGTCGTGCCTCAAAGCATTGCTACACCAACAACCAACCACACAATTAGTCCGATGCCTTTATCTTCAAATTCCATAAATCCTTCTCAAAATACCTCCCCATCCTCTTTGCAAAAACTTACTACACATCTTTTTGCTAGTTCTATTTCATCATCGACAGCATCAGATGAAGAATTGGAAGGAAGCAGGAAGAGAAAGAGAGAGAATTGGAAGAACTTCTTCGAGAAGCTAACAAGAGATGTCATCAAGAAGCAAGAGGATTTGCAGAAGAAATTTTTGGAAACGGTAGAGAAATGCGAGCATGAAAGAATGGCACGCGAAGAGGCTTGGAGAATGCAAGAGATGGCAAGAATCAATAGAGAACATGAAACTTTAATCCAAGAGCGATCCACGGCTGCAGCAAAAGATGCTGCAGTTGTTGCATTCTTGCAAAAGATATCGGGACAGCAAAACTCAAAACAAATACAAGAAATTCCACAACCAACATCAACACTACCTCCACCACAGCCACTACCGCCTACGCCCCCACCCACCAGTTTGCCACTGGTTACAAACTTGGAGATTCCAAGAAGAGATAATGGAGAGAATGTTACTGTATCAAGCTCCTCTAGATGGCCAAAAGCAGAAGTTCAAGCTCTTATTAGTCTTAGAGCCAATCTTGATATTAAGTATCAAGAAAATGGAGCTAAAGGGCCTTTGTGGGAGGATATCTCTGTTGGAATGAAGAAGCTTGGATATAATAGGAGTGCAAAGAGATGCAAAGAGAAATGGGAGAACATAAACAAGTATTTCAAGAAAGTAAAAGAGAGCAACAGGAAGAGGCCTGGAGATTCAAAAACTTGTCCATACTTTGACCAGCTCGATGCTCTATACAAGGAGAAAAATAAAATGGAAAGTACAGTCAGCTCAGGTTATGCAGTCAAGCCCATTAGCACAATGGAGCCATTAATGGTACGCCCGGAACAACAATGGCCTTGTCAACAAGCAAGCCAGCCTGAGACAATCGTTGAAGATAACGAAACAAATATTAACACCTATCACAATATTGAAGAAAATGATGATATTGACGATGATGATGAGGCACATACCGAGGAAGAAGATGAGGGAGGTGGTTTTGAAGTAGTAGCAAACAAACCAGCAACGTTGGGCAACGGTGAGTAATCAAGTGAAGGTGGAAAACTTCGTATCACAGTTATTTTGTCATGGTAAATACAGAGGCGGTAAAAATTTGAAATTCAAGTATTTACTGGAGATGAATCAGACTGAATCAATACATATCAATTAACTTGGTAGATCGATCATTCGGAACTTAATTAAGGATAAGCTGAAGCTGTCCGATCGATGAGAATGCAGGTTCTGTTTGCCATATGAATGGTGCCCACTTTTATTTTTGCCCATGTATGTACACATGGATTCCGTTCTATAGTGGGAATTAGAATAGTTTTCCTCTTTGTTTTTTATTCAAATTAATAATTGAGAATTGTTAATATAAAACTGCGGATTGATAGGCTGGCTGCAAAGAATAAATATTTTACCGGATGTTTGTCTGCAAGGTATATAGAGAGCAAAATAAAGAAACTAGTAGTACTGTTCGTATCTTTCTTTTTCTTTTTCTGTTCATTGGTTGTAAATGAAGGAAATGGTTTATATACTGTACAAGTACTGTAGCGTGTGACTTTGTAGATGTTTTCATACTCAAAAATTAGCCAACAAGATGAAAACGAGAAAGCATTTGTCTGGTGCTGTTAAGGTGCTAATAATTAATTAGTGCATGAGATCGTAATAGGAGAGGACAATTAATCGGCTAACCCATCTTGGAAATTAGGGCCCTCCCCAACATGCCAACATCACATGAAGGTCCTACCAAGAGGAATCTTCCAAGTTATCTTCCATTTAACTGATGCATGTGTATTATTAATGTATCCCATGTGTTGACTTTCCACTAAGTCATCACATTGATTACTTCTTGATGATCATGATTGATCAGAAAGGAGAACATTATATGCTGGATGGATGGATGCAGTTATTTCTCTTTTACCATGGTTTTGACCTGTACACGCACCATGATATTTTGCCCAGTTTCTTGGGAGTATAGATTATTGCACTGCCCATTAAAGGTTAGGGTCCACAAATTGAGTGGTCGTGATCTAGATGAATGTAGACGTTCTGTTATACAGTTAGGGTATTGAGATTTAAAAGCTTCTGTAGCTATCATTGCACATGTATAAGACACACAAGTTTATCTTTATCCTCAGTAACGTCGATCTTAATGCACTGGATAAGAATCTAACTGAACCCACCACCCGTTTGGTGCTGAGACGCTGTAACAGTACTGGCGCGTTGCTAGTTTCCACTATTAACACCGTCAAATTGCCTGGAATGTAACTTTCCCCCACGAATAGAATATCAGTATCAAATTGACCCATCAGGGGCTCTAATAAATAATACTAATCAGGCATGAACGTAGGGTGCATATCGAGAATATAATTATCGTTTGTGGGATCAATTCTTTATATAGTTACGTGTTGCCAACGTTTTAATGTGGAAAAAAATATTTACTCCTTTTTTTTTTTTTAATAAACCTTAATTTAACCATTTTTTTTAAGGATATTGCTAAACCTACCATTAAATTTTTTATTCTCTTCATTTATTTTTTAAAATTACAAACACACCCTTCCATCAAATATTTGTTACTATATTATAATGAAATATGTCCAATATCAAATTTCTAAAATGCCCATCAACATTTATGCTTTTTAGTTTCTTTACTTTTTTTTGTTCATGCATATCTATATTTTAGATATTTTAGGTATTTGATATGAAACATATTTAACTATTATATAATAAAAAAATTAATAATGAGGGTGTATTAGTAATTTTTAAAAAATAAATGGTGAGAATAATAAATTTGACGGTGAATTTAGCAACATCATTTGCGCAACTACTTTACTCTTTGAACCCATTTACAGATTGGATTATCGATATGGATTTTCATTGTTTTAGGCAAATGTTTTACTAATAAAAAATACTTTGTACGGAAAATCTTTTTTTTGTAAAATGTTAATTTTACATAGAACATATTTTTTCGCTAGATTTTTTTTTAGACAAAAATTGAATTGATTACTCTCCATAAAATATTTAATGAACTGAAAATATTTTTTAAAAAATTCTAATTTAACTATAAAACATTTTAAGCATGTATATATATATATATATATATATATATATATATAGATAGATAGATAGATAGAGAGCTCCATGACTCGTGTTGAAATATGTAGATTGATCTTAGTGGAATCACTAGCCTGGTTGCTAGGTCTAATATAATCTTATTATACCTTTTATATATAGTACTATATTTAGAGAAGTTAACATGTGTTAAAGAATTATCTTAATATTTCAATTCAAAAGTTTAAACAGTTTTCTAAAATAAAGTCATTTTGATTTAAAATGTATACATGTTTTATCTTGTGCTTAATTATCTATTAATTTGAACTAAAATTTACATAGATATATTACTATTTTATGTTTAATTTTAATAAAAAAATAATAAGATTTAAATTCCGACATAAAGATCATCAAAATTCTAATATAATATAAAAAATTATTTCAGTTCTTATTAGATGAATTCTTAAAATATTATTTATATTATTTTATAGTAATATATAATTTTTATTCCGATAATCTTTATCATTCGTCTTACATGCTATTTACCCATGTATATATATTATTAGATTGAATATGATTAATAAGAAAAAGCTAACCATATAGTCTTCTTGCCGCGTGGCAAAATTTCTGCATTTAGAGATGCGGCAACATATATATATATATATATATATATGTCTGCCCTAAGTACATGTTTGAACATCCCCAAAAATACTTTCAGAATGAAATCCTCTACTTTCTCTGAGACAAAATCCAATTCTCACCCACTGAAATTTAAACCAGCTGCCGCTTTCTCAAAAGAAACCAATTTTATTTGGTCCAATTTAGCCTTTATGGAGGACGATTACAGTGACAAAGGTTCAATTATTGGTAGCAACATCATCTTGGGCTCTCCAACAGAAAATAAAAGGAGAGAATATTTCAACACGAATGTTGAGGAAGAAGAGATTAGAATAAGAGAGGAGCTAGCCAGGGAGATTGAGAAAGAACTCGAACGAGAACTTATGGAAGGTAGACTTGTTTTGGTTCGCCGGCTAAGTGTTCTCAAAGCAAAACAAATAGATAGGGGATTGAAAGACTTGAATTTGGATAAACTCTCAAGTGAAATTTGCCCTTCCCATTGTTGCAATGTCGATGGAGATCGTGTCAGTCAATGGCTTTCGATGCATCCGTCAGCAGCAAGTGAAATCTCGCAAGCTGCCGATGACTATCCCAAAAAATGACTCTACCAATGTTCGAAAGCTGGAATCAATAAATCAATGGTAAATAGAAGTAATTAGAGGAAATAGTCCTGGAAAGAAAAGCGTTGAAATTAATCAATTGATCCTAGTTAACATCTTGGAAGTGTAAGTGTGCTTTTCTTATAACACGACTTTTCTTAAGAAATTCATGTCTCCTAGCTAGTTTCTTTAAGACATATCATACCATGCATATGGATGCTGTAAAACTTGATTGGAATTCGAATTAATATGAAACATCGATAGAAATTATGATCGATGTATACGTACGGTCTAATTGCCTTCTAAATGTTGACAAGATTTTTCATTTATATGGACTAATAAAATATTTGTGGTAGGTTCAACAGAAATAGCTGATGCTGTCCATTATATGTATCTGATGAGAGGAAAGATAAACTTTTTCTGTGGGTGTGCGTATGCGATGGCAATAAGAGCTTTTACTGTTTTATACTGTAACTGTATAACAGAATACCAATTCCCATCCATAAATAAAAATCCGCACCAATCAATACGTGGGGGCACATTTTTAATGGACAACACTTGCAGCATTTTTCCATGTAGCTGGACAAAATTGTAGGGCATGCCTAAAATTCAAAAGGAAATGTTGCAACATGGAGCCAAACAACAGCAATGCTTAACTTTGGAAAACACAGATCCATTTATTTTCAGAATCAAAATAATTGCTGTACTATATATCCGACACTCATTTATAAGATAACGATAACAGTAGTAGTAGTAGTAATAGTAACGGTAACCTGAATTACGAGCGGTAGATAACCCAACAAATTAAATTTCCTTAGTTAATTATCTGCCTATGCCAGGAAGAAACAAAAGTCGCTCTTCGCACATTGATTAATTAATTAGTTGTTGTAATGCTTATATATATATATGCTTTGTATGGGAGTTTCATTGTCTGCCTGTATCAAATAATAATAATGGAACTCATTTCTTTAGCATCGAGGTAGTTTATTAATTCGGGTGAATTGATCAAGCCAACTTATTTTCTTGGATCATGTCAATCGTGAAGACAATAGGCGTTTGGATTGGTTCGCAAACTACCCTTACCCCAAAATAATATTTATAAATCAAAAAATGTTGCTCAACCCGTGCTGGCTTAAGAGATTATAATGTGCTGAATATATATATATATATATATATATATTGAAGAATTCATATTAATTTACGGAAGTTTTAGATTTGAATGACATCGTTAACTTTTTGAAAATTCATTATATAAACCTTTGATCAGTCTCATTCACAGAAGAATTTTAAACTTAAGTTTAAAGTAAATTACCAACAACTCATAATAAAATATAAGCAGCACAAAATGATTTATTTTCAAATACAATCGAAATTTAATTTATCTGATATTCTTGCTTTCATATTAATGTTCATAGTTATTCCACTTAAAAAAAGAAAAGAAACAAAAGACTTGACAAATGAAACACCATCTCACGTTTATATATGGCTTCACTTTATGCTTGAGCTGCTAGATTTGTTTATTTTGAAGCTACAAAAACTGAACATTAAATATTGATTCCTGATCATTTTCTTGGCACTGACTTCAAGAATTTAATGGCAACCAAACAACTTCAGAAAAATTAGAATCTGGATTTTAGGTTAGATCCTTGGATTAATTAACAACTTAGAAGATTCCTCTTTGTGGGCCCTGTTGAAGGTCCATGAGCAGCTTGACAGCATGTGATGTTGGCATGTTGTGGGAGGGTCCCCAGTCGGAACTAATAAGGACTGGCCTTGTGCCCCTCCATTTCTGCCTTGCTGCTTATCTGTGAACTTTATACTTTATAGCTCAGGTAGAAATAACAGTGACCTGTTTTTTGGCCTAGCTCTCCCTCTTATTTCAATCTGCCGATGAGCATAAGCGAGGCAGCAGAGCTTATAAATGAGGAATTCTTCTTCTTCTTTTTTTAACGGATGTACATAGGGAGTTTATTTTCTTTTAATTGTTGCTTTTGGAGGGTTTAAACAATACCTATACCTATACATATACCTATATATTTATATATTCGTTCATTGGTTTTGTAGGGCTAATAGAATACATATTTACATATATACAACACTAAGGTGTAATTTTTTTTATTTTTTTGATATGGAAATATTTCTATCAATAAAAAGTCCTATCTTTTAATAAAGTTTTCTTTTTTCCTCTCTATGATCAAAAAATACGTACCTTGTTATTGAAAAAACCTGTTTATGTTGAGCCAAATGAAAGAATCTAAACAAACAGCTGTGACCATTTCTCACATTTACACCACCATGAACATGAATAAAAACTACAGCGCACTAGTCTCTTTTATTTATTCTTTGGAAACTGAAGCTCTCTCTCTTCTTCTTTCGCAATCCCTAACCTTATTTATTTTGCAAAAAAATAAATAAATTATAAAATAATTAAACATATAATCCAACGACTATATGCTACAAACCTCCACCCCAACTCAACATGTGTGCTTGCTTACAAATTAATTTAGTCTCTTCCATCCCAATTCACGGCTCCCAGAATCCGATGTACTTGCCAGTATTCCTGTGAATTCTCGAAGAGTTTTCTTCTTTGGATTTAAAACCCTCACTCAGCTGGTCATTGATGTTTGTTTATTTGCTACAATTTCATAGCCACTGGCTTCATCTTCATCTTCATCATCAATATCCTTGTCATCTTCGTCGTAATTATTTTGATGATCATCACTTTCCAAATCTTCCATCACTGAGTCAGGTCTGTGTTCTTGTTGAGGAGGAGGCCATTGCTGCTCTGGGCGTACCATCAAAGGCACTGAATTTTCAGGCTTCATATGAGTACTATTGGACGGACCATCAATCTTGTTCCTCTCTTTATATAAAGCATCAAGTTGGTGAAAGTATGGACATGTTTTCGAATCCTCGGGCCTTTTCTTGTTGCTCTCTTTCACTTTCTTGAAGTACTTATTGATATTCTCCCACTTCTCTTTGCATCTTTTTGCATTACGGTTGTAACCAAGCTTTCTCATCCCAGCTGAGATCTCCTCCCATAGTGGCCCTTTAGGTCCATTTTCTTGGTACTTGCAATCAAGATTAGTCCTTAGGCTAATTAAAGCTTCGACTTCTACTTTAGGCCATCTAGAAGAGCTTGCTGACGAAAAATTCTGATCCCCGCTATCTGATTTCATTATGTCCAGATTAGCCAACGGTTGTGGTAGTGGCGTTTGTGCCACTGTCAGTGGTGGCGGCGGCCGCAGCGTTGGTGTTGATGTCGGTACCGGCTGTGATGTCGGGCGGGGTGCTGGCGGCGGGGGTGTCTGTGATGCTGGCGGATTATTTTGCACTTGACCAGGACTTTGCTGTTCGGATAATTTTTGCAAAAATCCCATTACGGCAGCATCCTTAGTTGCCGCTATGGATCTTTCTTGGGCTAAAATTTCGCGCTCTTTATTGATTCTTGTCATTTCTTGCATTCTCCAAGATTCTTCTCTAATCATTCTTTCGTGTTCGCGTCTCTCAATAGCTTCCAAGAACTTCTTCTGCATCTCCTCTTGCTTCTGGATCACTTCCTTCATTAACCTTTCAAAAAAGTCCTTCCATTTCCTTTTCCTCTTACGATGCCCTCTTAGTTCCACGTCCGAGGATGTCGATGAAGAAGTGGAATTGGAGATGAGATCTGAGGAAAAGTTTGGAAAAGAGGATGGGATATTAGTTTGAGGAGGATTTGTAGGGTTTGTTGCTTGTGACGAGGGCAAGATTGTAGGGTTTGTTGAAGGAAATGAAGGAACTGTAAGATTTATTGCTGAAGTGACATTGCCTTGAGACATGTTTGTAGCTAGTGATGCTGCTACTGTTGTTGATGGAACAGTAAGGTGAGAAGCCCCAACAACACTAGGAGAAGGATTAACCACTGGCATTGCTGTTGTTGTGAGTGCTGGAGCATGAGACGGCTTGGGTGGTTGTGGCGGCAGCGGCAGCGGAGATGAGAGTGAAGGAGGATGACTCTCGAAAGCTTCTAATTGATCAAAAAACCTATAATTTTTGCCTTCTTGTTTACCAGTTCGGCCTTCTTTGGTTCTCTTGTGGTACTTGTACACGTTCTCGAATTTCTCTTTGCATTTCTTTGCACTTCGATTATAACCAAGTTCTGCCAGCTTCCTGATATATAACAACAGTTGCAACAAAAGCATAACTCCAATTCTTGTTTTATCCCATCGTGAATTAAGCAAAAAAATCAAAAGATCTTGAAGAATATTCATTCATAAAATAAAATAAACTTGAAAGATAAAACAATAAACAAAAATGAAAATTAAGAAAGAGTGCTTCGATGGACCCAGCTTGCTCTTGAATTACACATTTATAGCCAAGTTAAAAAGAATTTAATTCTGTAGTATATAACCCTCCTTCGATTTATAAATTTACTAAGAGAAAGAGACAACTATTATACATAAATTAACACCATTCAGCCTGCTAGTATTTAATTTTGCTTTGAAATACATAGTGCCCAGAATGGAACAGATTAGACAGCTCGGAAATGTCAGAAATCTAAATTCTGAAACACTCAATTGTTATTGCAGTTTGCACTGAAAAAAGAAGAAGAAAAACTCATAAACACAGTCTTCAAGAATATTATAAATTGTAAAAGACTACTAAAAGAAAACCAACCAAAAAGGGAAAAAGAAGAACACGAAAAAGAAAATTGAACTCCCTCATGCAGATCTCTATCAATGAACTCCAAAAGCCAAAAAACAACACCATATGTATATATATATATATATAAAGTTCACCATATCACAAATAAAGGGGGAAAAAAACTTTGTAATCTAATGATCACCTGGAAACATCCTCCCATAAAGGACCTTTAACACTAGCATCACGAAACGCAGCATCCATGTCGGACCTTATTTTTAAGAGTGCCAAAGTCTCTTGTCTTGGCCACCGGTTGCCTCCGAAACTCCGCTCACCTTCAACGATTCCTTTATCTTCTTCACCTCCAACATCATTGCTGCCGCCTTCATGATGGCCACCAGTTGACGGAGGAGCTTCCCTGTTACCTGCTCCTCCTTCACCACCACCAGGGGTTGTTGCTGTGGTTGCTAGCACACTACTTGAGTCCCCTAGCATAGGACTCTCTTTCTTTCCTTTCTAACTCTCAATATTACAGCACCTTGAAAAAAAAAATACGAGCTCAAAAAAATAGAAGAAAAAAAAAATATCATCAAAGCAAAAGAGAAGGTTAATTCTCTTGAGGGTTTTATGGGAGATGGTTTGTATCGTATGGTGAATTTATTAATTATTTCTGTGGGATCTACTTGTCAATGTCAAGAAGCTGTTTCTTTCTTATTTTTAATACTGCCAGTAATTTATTTATTTTATTGCTTTTCTTCTTTTAGCTACGAACTGGAATCTTTTAGTTTTTTTTTTTTTTCCTCTCTTGTAATGTGGGGTGGTAGGGTTGGTTGGTGAAAAAGTATAGTAAGAGGTGTCGCTTGGTTTTCTAGCAGTAATAATAAAGTTGGCACAGAAAGATATACATTGTATAGATACAGTATATTGCCAAAGAAAAGATAATAAACATCACAGGAATTTATCAGCAGCTGCATATAGAGACGATGGTGATAACTAGTTGGTTTTTGTCTGTCCAGCTAAATTTAGTTAAAAGCCGGCCCATGTAGGTCAGCATTTTTCCTTTTTACTTCATTCATTCTTTTTGTGATCTGTATTAATATTATGTGGGTATTTATTATTTATTTCTCTGTTATATTTTTGTTGTTTTTTTAGGTATATCTATGGGAAGATAAATATCAGCTTTGCTTTTTGAAGGCTGTTTTGGTTTTCAGTGGCGGTTGATGTGAAATTGCTAAATTAGCCTTAAAAACGGATCCCATTGACCTTTAATCATTGAAGGGCTAATTAATTTTACAATTATTTATTTGATCACCTGATTTGTGATCTGGGTTTGTCTCTGTAATTCAGAATTTTCTATAATGGGGGGTGGGGTTTTTTCTGTATTGCCAAAAATGGCCCTAAATTTTTTTTTTTTTAAAAAAAGTTTTCAGCTTTTGTTGGTTGGAACTGTGTGTGGTACAGTGCACTGCTTGTGGTGTAAGGGACCTACTGTGAATTGTGATAATGACGAGTGTAGTTTGACAAATTTTGATTTTCATAATTGTCCAAAGAAAATTTGGCCGTAAACTTATCTTAAAAAGGGGGCATTTGAAGTGGGATCCACTGTTGAATTAAACTAGTAGATGTAGGTCATATTATTAGGCCACGCCATTTATGAATTGAAGTAAATGGTGGACTATTCAGTTAGGTTGCAACCAACCGTAATAAATAGGAGACAAAATTTTAATGGCTATGATCAAGTAATCATCCATCATTTGGAAAATAATTGGCCAAGTTTCGGGACCATTAGCCCCTTGGTGCCTTGTGATTTAATTTTGTTTCACAAATTGTAGCCTTAACGTACATCGACGTGGTGGTGCTGGTGCCTTACCCCCACAACAGTACTCGTATGAATCTATAGTAACGTTATACTCCGTCTTCAGTTTTCATTTTTTTTTTGTGAGACTTTTTTCACTTGAAAATGACTTTCATATTATGATAAGGTTGTTGAGTGTTGAGACCTAGTTTATTTATTTATTTATTATGTTTAAAATCGCATTTTAGATTAAATTTATAGTACCTCTATCAAAAGAAATGAAAAGGGAATTTATTTATTGTTGAATTATTTAGTAACTATAAATGCTCTTCAGGGTCATGGTCTCGTGGACTTTGATCAATGTGAATGATTTCGAGGGGAAATGCTTTTCAAGTCAAACCCAGAAGATCTTCTATGTGTTACGAAGTTAATAAATAGGGTGAAGATTAATCGCCAAGAAGATTGGGGGAGACATAAGATAAAAGATTTTTTCTTACATCCTATGCAAATCTAATTGATCAGCAACTCAATTATTGAGTTTTTTTTTCAAAAAAAAACAAGTGACGCCCAAAACATAATGCAAGAAGTGGGGTCCAATTAATCAATAGGTAATAAACAAATAATAATCCGAGTCATAGGTAATAATCTTTTACAGACAAAGTACTCTGTAATCATTACGAGTGCAGGAATCAAGTGATGGGGATGCGGTAATTATTGGTTGTTAATTGTAATAATAAAGGACATACAAGGGCATATGAGTAAAAAAAGAAAAAAATGAAGAGGAGAGATGGTGTAATAGGTTGGTTAACATGCATCAAACGCCGTTTTGATAATTTCCATTACAGGGATCTGTACGGGTTATCGATAAATGATAATGAACGGAGGAGACAAATTTTGAATTATTTCTCCTTTTCACATTTGCCTTTCACCATCGATTATATTCTTCATTAATTGAGTTTACAAAAGTAGGAATTATATTCTGTCATACTCTTCATCAATTTGAGTTTCCGAAAAGTGGGAATTGTATTCTTTTCTTTGCCACGTACATGTACATGAAAACTCAAGAAAATGAAATCTTTTGAAGGATATTATTAATTCAATTGACAAAATAAACTATCCTTTTGTCTTCATCCTATAATATTTGGGTTCAAAATTCAAATTATTTATCTTTCTGTATAATTCAGTCATCGAACCGTCCAAAAAATAAACTAGATTCCGTTGGGTTAATGACTTGAAAAGTCAAAATTTGAGGCTTATAGATGGGATTTTTATCCTTTAATGAAGCATCATGTTTACAACAAGATATAAGTATAAAAATGGGCTGATCATCTCGAATTAATCAATTACTTTTTAGTAGCTTTGTTCAATATATATATATATATATATATATATATATGCGTGTGTCTTTTTTCATGGTGGGTGTGTAAATTTTTAAGTATTTTTTGCTTATCTCACAAGACGTTATATTTACTAGTCCTCTCTCTCTCTCTCTCCTCAATTGCTTCCCTGGCAAGAACTTCTCGAGCTGGAAGGGTATAGATAGATAGATAATACTAAGATTTAAGATGCCTTGTAGAACTTCCATAGCTAGCTGGATACATGCCTGCCACTATGTTTGCTTTTGCCCACTAGCTATTATTTACAGCCAAAAATCGACGGTAACAGTACGTCACGGGTTTACTAACTAGTATAATTTACTCTTAAATTATTATTAGAATTGTAGTAAGATTATCAATTTAGGTTATTTAAATTATTAATTTTTGAAAAGGTTTTATCATTTTTTGTTATATCTTATCATTAAAATATTAATCGTTAATTAAAATATTTAAAATAATAAAATTAATTTAGAAAAAAATTAATAATTCATTTTTTTACTAAGTGGATCCGTTACATATCATTAATTATCTAACAATAAAAATCATATCCATAAACAACAAAATCGTTAAAGTTTTCTTAAAGCTAACTAATATTAAATTTTTTTTCTAAATTAATTTTAATTCTTATGAAAAAAGAAACAAAGAAGAAGAAAATTTAACAATTCATTTACTTGATGCATTCATTAGATATTATTAATTATTCAACAAAAAAAGTCATATCTCTAAATAACAAAATCATTAAATATTTTTTGACATTAATTTTAATCCTAAAAAAATAACAATAAAAATGTTTAAAATGATATTATTTTAAATATGTTGATTAAAGATCAATCCTTTTTAAAAAAATTCAAATAATTAATAATTCAAATTGACAGTGTAGGTTTTATTTTATCACTGCTCTAATAGTTTGGAGATTTTTGATGTCACTAATCTATATATCATGTGTGCGCAGCAGGCTGGCACATCTTGTAAATTCTGTTTTTTTTTTCAAATAATAATAATAATAATAATAGTAACCATAGGTACAAGTGGGGCTAGTTATTGAGAATTTTATGAAAGTTGAAAGGAGCGACATGTAATAAGTTGAGTATTTGAAGGTCATGCACTTAATTGTATCTGATCCATGTGTTTTATTAATTAAGTTAATTATAGGAGAATATTATATACATATTTGATGCCGGATCTTTGGCGCGGCAGCGAAACGTGTAAATATTCTTACCGTATTGTGCTCCTTTTTGAATACGAAGGGAAAATACATGTATCTAATTAATAGTGCTTTTTTAAAAAAAAATAACGAAGAGTATACTTGATATTGCCTAAATATTAAACCTGCTTAACCTTACCATTAAATTTTTTTAAGAAAAAACATAGCTTATGTACCTGGTCATTTTCTTAATCTATAGTTAACAAAGTTGGGACGACTTAATTATATACGTACAATGGGATGAGCTAATTTGATAATTGGAGGACAAATATTTGAATGTGTGCGTGTGCGAATGGAGTTTTAGAAATAAGTGTAAGGGCTCATGAATAGCCGAAGAATTATTACTTCTAAAACAGAATGTATTGTGTTTTGTAAATGACTATAAAACACTACTAAACAAGACATCTCTGTGTTAATGGATTATACGTGGATAGTGCTTGAAAAGTTTGTATTTTTTAGTTACGGAGCACTATATAAAGACAACTAGCCTAACTAGTTTTTACTGCTTCCATGAATTAAATTGTACGTATCCACACTGAAACGTAGCAGTACTCAACCTAGCTAGTCCTGGTAAAGTTTTTGATATGAGTGGACAAGTAAAAGAGAAGAAGAAAAATCTCGAATTAAAATAGAAAGAGAATTGGTAGATATTATTAAGAAGAAGACATAAATTATATATATGAGAAAAGATATTAGAGAGTAGCGGTGAGTGAGTTTGATTTACTGGCCCATATGGAAAGTTTACAAGTAGACAAAAGGTTTACTTTCACATGGGTGGGCATGTGATGTGAATGTACACTCACATCTTCTGTCTACCATGTGGATTAACCTCTACATTTATCTGGCACCAGCTAAGCAACCACCAAGTGGATTCTTTTTTAGCCTTTCTTTCTTTTCTTTTTTAACTGCACACATAAATTAAAATGTATTTGAAAAAATAAAATAAAAATAAAAGATTAGCACGTAATACACATCACATATTCTCACAGGAACACAGCAAGGAGAATTTTAACATTTTCAACTTTTTCTTTTTCTTTTTCTTTCCCCTCTCAATAGGCAATCGCTTGAATGGGACCCAACAAGCTCTAAAATAATGCTCCAATGACTCGTATACTTTTAT